AAATTCTCAATGTGCCTTTCTTGGTACTGTACAACTTGAGTTTCCCATGAGAACAAGACCATATAAATAGCTCGAGTCATGGCCATAGCTCAGCTTCATGATAACATATCTGTTTGCTGTTGTATGACTTCAAGTAATTCCCAACTTATGGTAACCTTAGGGCTAACATATCACATTGGGTGTTTTTGGTAAGAGTTGCTCAGAAGAGGCTTGCCATTGGCTTCCTCTGAGGCTGAGAGTATGTGATTTGCCCATGGTCACCCAGTTGGTTTCAAGGTTGAGCAGGGATTTGAACACTGGTCCCCGGAGTCACAGCCTACTCTTTAAGAGGTGTGGCTGGTGGAGATAAGGGTCAGGGCCTTCTCAGTGGTGGTCCCACGGCTGTGTAACTCCCTCCCAAGTGAGATCAGGTCAGCCCCCTCCTTCCTGACCTTTAGGAGACAGCTAAAGACCTGGCTGTGGAACCAAGTGTTCAACCCATCATAGGAATATTTCAAATTAAAGTGAAAGTTGAAAGTGCAATGACCCAGGACTGTTTACGGAAACAGCTATGTCTCTGCGTGATATGTGATGTTATTTTATGTGATGTATTTAATAACGTTTAATGTTTTATTAGGGGAGGGTCAGTTTTAATGTTTTATACTGTTGTTCTTGAGAGCACTGAATTGTTGCCAACACTGTGAACTATCCTGAGTCTTCTTCACGGTTTGAGACGGGGGATTTTCAAATGTTCCAAATAAATAAATAATAAATATTGTTACAGGGTGAAAGGGGTGAAGGAAAGAGTTGGCTAAAGAAAACTTTAGCAGTTTACATTTTCCAGAAAGCTTTAAATCGGTGTTTCTCAAACTGGAAGTTGGTACCTTTGAGGGGATCATGAGAGGGTTTCAGAGGGGTCGCCAAAGACCATCAGAAAACATATTTCTGATGGTCTTAGGAACTCCTTTGGCAAGGAAGGCTGAAGATCTCTCCGCCTGTCCTTCTCTTCCTTATTGGAAACAGATGGCACATCCTCCCACAAAATGCCATCCTCTTGCTGTGATTGTCCGGCTTCTCAGCCAAGGGAAGGGCTGTCCCTGAGATTCCCAAGTAAAGAGGGGAGAGCAGGCCTGCTTGGCGCATGGCAGCGTTGTGTGCATGTGCGGGCGAGGGAGAGCATGCGAGGCTGGAGGAAGGCTGCCAGCAAGTCCCTTCAAGGCATGGAGCTTCTGTGTGGGAAGTTTGGCACAATTCTATCATTGGTTGGGCTCAGAACGCTCTTTCATTGTAAGTAAACTACAACTCCAAAACTCAAAGTCAATGCCCACCAAACCCTTCCAGTATTTTCTTTTAGTCATGAAAGTTCTGTGTGCCAAGTTTGGTTCAATTCCATCATTGGAGGAGTTCAGAATGGTCTTTGAGTGTGGGCTAACTATAAATCCCAGCAACTTCAACTCCCAGATAACAAAATCAGTTGTTCCCCCCAACCCCACCGGTATTCAAATTTGGGTGTATCAGGTATTTGTGCCAAATTTGGTCCAGTGAATCAAAATACATCCTGCATATCAGATATTTACATTACGATTCATAACCGTAGCAAAATTACAGTTATGGAGTTATGAAGGGTCACCACAACACGAGGAACTGTATTAAGGGGTCGTGGCATTAGGAATGTTGAGAGACACTGCTTTAGATGAACAAGGGCCATTACCAGGGAATACTTTTTCAGGTGGGATACATATATCCCCTTCTTTGCAGAACTTGAGATGGGAAGTAAAGACTTATTTCATGTTGATGTGACCAAATTGAAAATATGTCTTATATTGGTGACCTTATTAGCTCAACCAAAAAGCATGAAGAAGCTGACATGCTTCTTCACTGAGTATTGATACTATAGAGCAGGCATGGACAAACTTTAGCCTTCCTGGTGTTTTGGTCTTCAACTTCCACAATTCCTAACAGCCTACTGGCTACTTTCTTTTTTATTGATTCCAGTGGTAGATAAATGGTCTTACTGGTATCTAAATGGCATTTAAATTGGTTGTATGGCTTAGCTGGGGTGCCACGGTTGAGAAGGCTTTCATTGTAAGATGCTTACTCAATTCATTTGAAAGCTGGAAAAGTTTCTTTTTTGGATTTCAACTTTCAGAATCCACCAGTTGTCTAGGGGATTATTTGAGTTGTAATCCAAACATTTCCAAGCTCCGTCCATTAATGTATGAATGTTATTTCCTTGTTCTGCAGCTGGCTTCCTGAATGCTTTCCGAGTACTGTAACAACAGAAATGTCAGTTTGAGGGAAGACAGCTGATGGCATAGGGAGATAATGAACTTGTCCTTAAAGTTTATGGGAAGCACACCTGTTAGTGTTTGCAGATATATGTTTATCTGAAGTTCTCCGCCCTAAATTCTTGAGAAATGAGTGGGTCAAGCTAGATTTTACTTGATCACATCAAAGGCATTTTGTGCTTGTGTTCTGTATGAAATTAGGGAGAGTGTATTAATTATAAAGAAAGGGAGATGGGTTATCAAATGATGAAGCAAAGGTCGAATTTCTTAAGTTGTTTTGCCACACGACACTGAAAGTGATTTTAGCATTTCTCAGACCTGCAGAACCAGGACTACGTAGAATGTACGTACTGTACATACAGTAAGATTTTCCCACTTCTACCCTATATTAAAATTATTCATATTTATGTCAGGTGTGGTGGACTCATTCTATCTGGAAGGAGGAAAATCATGCACTGTGGAGGTGCACGACCCTTAATAATCTATTCATATGGCCATATGCATATACAATAGTCTGTGCAAGATTTGGGTTTTAGGCCTTTGCACAACCCCACTAAGTTTCCGGTCCCAATTCAAGGAGCAGGTTTTGACCTGCAAAGCTCTAAATGGTTCAGGTCCCGCCAATCTTTGTGATTGCATCTTCCCCTATGAACCGGCATGGGCTCTAGGATCTGCGAGGGAGGCCCTCCTCTTGCTTAAACCACTGTCACATGCACGGTTGGTGAGGACGAGAGAGAGGGCCTTCTCGGTGGTGGCCCCTCGACTTCGGAATACCCTCCCCAGGGAGATTAGGCAACCCTCCACACTGTCCTCCTTATGTAAGAATCTGAAAACCTGGATGTTCCAGCAAGCATTTGAGATCGACTAGTCCAGTGGTTCTCAACCTGGGGTCCCCAGATGTTTTTGGCCTTCAACTCCCAGAAATCCTAACAGCTGGTAAACTGGCTAGGATTTCTGGGAGTTGTAGGCCAAAAACATCTGGTGACCCCAGATTGAGAACCACTGGACTAGTCCCTAGTTAGAAATGCCCAGTCCCTAGGTCGCCAGATAGTTCTCTGTTCTCTGCATTTCATCAAGTTCCCTGGCCCTATGGCACACCGTTTTGCACTATTCCATGCCCGACCCTTTTACAGCCTGGTCACACCCATTTTAGTAATTCTGGTCACTGGTTTTTGTTGAACATTGTCTGATGGAGCTTCAATGCTGCTATTTTATACTCTGATGTTTAATTGTGTTTGTATTTGGATTGTTGCATTTTACAATGCTCTTATCCTAATGATGTTTTTGTTTTAATGGATTTTTTTGCTTTTATGTCTTGTGGAGTTTCTGTCCCACATGTAAGCCACCACAAGTCCCTTCGGGGAGATGGTGGTGGGGTATAAGAATAAAGTAGTAGTAGTTGTTGTTATTTGAAACACAAGAAGATTAGTACACAGCAAACAAGATCACTCTGCTGGCTGTTGTATTGGATCACACGTCAGACACTTCCCGAGTGTCTAGGACTGTGTGATGTATTGGTGAATAATGCGTGCAGATCCCAGTAGGGTGGCCTTTTGCAGCTGGCAGACAGTAATTTTGTCAGTGCCAATTGTGTTTAAGTGCAGGCCAAGGTCTTTAGGCACTGCACCCAGTGTGCCGATCACCACTGGGACCACCTTGACTGACTTATGCCAGAGTCTTTGCAGTTCAATCTTTAAATCCTCATATTGTGTCAGCTTTTCCAGTTGTTTCTCTTCAATCCTGCTGTTTCCTGGGATTGCAACATCGACAATCCATACTTGGTTTTTCAACACAATCATGAGGTTGGGAGTATTCTGCTCCAAAACTCTGTCAGTCTGAATTCGGAAGTCCCAGGGTAGTTTGATGTGTTCATTTTTTGTAACTTTTTCAGGCTTGTGATCGCACCAGTTCTTTGTCACAGGCAGATGGTATTTGTGGCACAAGTTCCAATGAATCATCTGATTCATGATGATGATGATGTTATTAGGCAGCAGAATGTCTGTGAGCATGATTATTGCACCACAAGTTCAGGGGGACTCATAAAACAGCCTTTAAAAGCACTTTCTGCATGGCTTCATGAGGATGGGCACTCAAACATACTTTAATGTCTTGCTTTCATATTTCTCATAGCTATCTGCTTAGCAGGTCAGTGTACAGAATGTGGGACTAGATAAACCTTTAGCCGGATTCAACCTGTCTTGCCTTGCATTTTTATGTACATAGAAGACTACTTCATGTAATTTCTTAATTTGAATTTTCTGAGTCATAAACAAGGGAATCTTTGAAAAGGACTGACTAGCCTCCTATGCATTGACATATATCTAATGTGATTTCAATTGGGTGAAAATGATCAGAAAGCTAGAGATGAAACTGCTGTTACAAATATCACGCTAGTAGTCAAATCTCTCTCCTGTCCTTTGATGTTTTTGGGCATATCCTAGTGCCAAAACATTGTTTATCTTTCTCTTCTCACACATTCTGGTCCATTAATTTATGGTAGAGGGAGATTCAAGGCCACTGTAGAAACATAAGTCTATAAGATTCATAACTGTCTGCTGCCATTTTCGGTAGAAGTCCCATGTTGCGTACTTCGCCTAAGTCTACTCTTCTATCTCTCTATTTTGGCATTTACTGTATGCCTAAGAGTGATAGTGTGATTGTTTTAGTTACATTGATCGTACTTGATGAAATTTGCAAATTGTGATAAAAATGCAATATGTTTATGTTCTCTAGGTCATCATACAGTCTACATTGGGGTTCACGTGCCTAAAAGTTACCGAAGAAGAAGACGCCACAAAAGAAAACCCAAGGAAAAGAAAGAAAAGGAGAAAATTTCTGAAAATTCAGACAAGTCTGACATCGAAAACGCAGATGAAACGAGCAGTAGCATCCTCAAACCACTCAGTGAGTAATGGGCTCTTTTTGAATGTTTCTCAAGAGAGGCTAAAGTGCCAATGAGAACTAATAAAGATGACTACTTAGGATAAAAGTATGTGAGCGGTAACATTTAGCATGATTTGATACAAAATGTAGAAACCTCTTGCAAAAAATAATTGAATCTGAGCAAATGTATGCAAAGTGGTACATTTCCGGGATGGATTGAATTGATTTGATTTACCATTTATGGGGTTATCATGCCCTTTGATCTATTTGACATTATTCTGGAAGCTCATTTCTAAATCAAGGGGTGATGTTTCTCAAGGTGTCAACTAAGGATAAATTTAACAGAGCTGAGATTGAGATGGTAAAGACTCCAGATTATCTTCCTGAAGTTGGATTATGGCTTCATAGCTTTTTGCACTGCTGCAATCTTGGATAGAAAGATTTTTTTTTCTGGGTCGGAAGAACATTGGGTCTTTTTGTTGTTGGTGCAGCTTCTAAAGTAATGCTTTCAGTTATGATACTGAGTTATTTATTTGTCGTGTCAGGGCAACCAGTCAATTATATTACATTTCTAACATAACAAAGCAAACAAACAGACAAAATACAAAATTTGTGAGTTTGGTAGTTGATTAAATGTCCTTTGACCAGTATCTGGCCACTTGGAGTGCTTCTTGTGTTGCTGCAAGAAGGTCCTCCATTGTGCATGTGGCAGGGCTCAGGTTGCATTGCAGCAGGTGGTCAGTGGTTTGCTCTTCTCCACACTCGCATGTCGAGGATTCCACTTTGTAGCCCCATTTCTGAAGGTTGGCTCTGCATCTCGTGGTGCCAGTCTGTTCAGCGCCTTCCAAGTCGCCCAGTCCTCTGTGTGCCCAGGGGGGAGTCTCTCATTGGGTATCAGCCATTGATTGAGGTTCTGGGTTTGAGCCTGCCACTTTTGGACTCTCGCTTGCTGAGGTGTTCCAGCGAGTGTCTCTGTAGATCTTAGAAAACTATTTCTTGATTTAAGTCGTTGACGTGCTGGCTGATACCCAAACAGGGGATGAGCTGGAGATGTCTCTGCCTTGGTCCTTTCACTATTGGCTGCTACTTCCCAGCAGATGTCAGGTGGTGCAATACCGGCTAAACAGTGTAATTTCTCCAGTGGTGTAGGGCGCAGACACCCCGTGATAATGCGGCATATCTCATTAAGAGCCACATCCACTGTTTTAGTGTGGTGAGATGTATTCCACACTGTGGAATACATGATACTGAGTTGATAGTGACAGTGTTGATATCAATACCATACCATCTCCTACAATGCCACCATAAAGACAACAATGCTTATCTGATTCCAGTAGTTAAGCAAGGTTCGAACCAGTAAAGAACCAGTAGGTGATCACCGGGCAATTTCAGCATATTCCCAAAGAAGAATTCTTCCAGGTTTCATATTTGGTATTAACACCGTGAACTAAATGGATCAATGCCTCAGTATAAGGAACAATCTGTGTTTCTTAAACACTGTCCTTGTGATCTTCACAGTCCTCTTCCATGAAGCTTAAGGAGATGTGTTGTTGCAATAATCCATGAAGTAGGCTAGATCAGGGCTTCTTAAATGTGTTCCACTCATGACCCCTTTCCTCCCAAGAAATATTATGTACCTATTTACCCCAGGTGTCTAGGTGCACTTCCAGACAGCACTAAATCATGAGATTTAAATGGGCAAAAAATCCCAGGATTTCAAAAGAGAACCTATTGGTCCCAGGATTTTTGTCTCTGTTGTCCAGACTTGGTGCTTTGTTGTGAGATTTAGAGACTCCCAAGAAGGCTGCCACAAGAATTCTACTGGAAACTTCGGCAGTTTTTTAAAACCCCTCAAGATGTGGATATGCAGAGAATCACTGCAGTGAATCACTGCAAAAGTTATGTTCTTTGTCCTGACCAGAGAAACTGTGTCCTCCAGACATTTCATGAAATATTCTTCCACACAAACAAAAAGTTTTTGCCTTCTACTCAAGTGTTGCCAACTTTTTAGGAACTTAAATAGCCTCTGTGTATGTCTGTATACGTTGTATATCAAATTGGCATTGAATGTTTGCCATATATGTGTACATTGTAATCCACCCTGAGTCCCCTGCGGGGTGAGAAGGGCGGAATATAAATACTGTAAATAAATAAAAAAAATAGGAACTGACCAATCAGTAACAAACGTCATTAAACATGTGGATGACAAAGTTAATCTTGTCAGGACAAAGTTGTCACCCTCTAGTCAACATTGGACATATTTTCACAATAACAGCAATCAGGAGCAAACATGTACAACCCAAAAACAGCACCCCGTAGTTCCTATGCACAAGTACACGGCCAAACTTGTCTGCACGGATGGCCACACTGTGTCTATAAGTCAGGAACAGAACTTATACAATGATTTGCATATTTGCATATTCACATCCTGCAGCAACCATCTTGGGGGCTGCAAAATCCCAGGACAAAGCAGCAAGTGTGGATGATGGAGACAGAAATCCCAGTACCAAAAGGTCTGTATGTAGACCTCCTCTCAGGTCCGGTTTTTTTTTTTTTTTTTTTACCCCTGGCTAAAACCCACGTTTTGGTGCTGTCTGGAAGCGCCCGGATTTGTGTAAATGGGTGGCATTCAGAACCCTTTTACTGTTGACAAATTTTTCATGACTCCAGCATTGAGCTAAGAGGACCCTATTTGAGGTTGAGAGCCACAGTATAAGAAGCAGTGGGATAGACTGATACTTCAGTTGGCCCACTCATTTTTAAAAATAGCAGGACAGTTTTCAATCTGAAGCACTAATGAGTTCATAGTTGGAAAAAAACTGTATCTGAATTCTGAAAGGGTATCAGATGGCAAGCCTTAGTGCAGGCATGGGCAAACTTCGGTCCTCCAGGTGTTTTGGACTTCAACTTCCATCGGCTGTTAGGAATCATGGTAGTTGAAGTCCAAAACACCGAAGCTTGCCCATGCCTGTCTTAGTGTGTACACAGCCAGAACTAAGTGAGCACAATGAGTCAGAATTATTTTCTAATCCTGCCCAACAACACAGAACTATTTGGTGTTAATCTGAGTTAAACATGTCTGTTTTCTCCATTTAGTAGAGTATAACACAGAGTTTATCAATCTGGGAGTCGGGATCCGGGGGGGGGGGGGGGGGGGGGGGGGGAGGTGTCAGAGGGGTCGCCAAAGACCACCAGAAAACATAGTATTTTCTGTTGGTCATGGGGGTTCTGTGTGGGAAGTTTGACCCAATTCTACCATTCGTGGGGTTTGGAATGTTCTTTGACTGTAGGTAAACTATAAATCCCAGCAACTACAACTCTCAATGGTCAAGCTCTATTTTCCCCAAACCCCACCCGTGTTCACATTTGGGCATATTGAGTATTTGTGCCAAGTTTGGTCCAAATCCACCATTGTTTGAGTCCGCAGTGCTCTGTGAATGTAGGTGAACTACAACTCCAAAACTCAAGGTCAATGCCCACTAAACCCTTCCAGTAACATGGTCTTACAGCCTGAAAAGCCTACAACAACCTTCCAGTATTTTCTGTTGGCCATGGGAGTTCTGTGTGCCAACTTTGGTTCAATTCCATTGTTGGTGGAGTTCAGAATGCTCTTTGATTGTAAGTGAATCCCAGCAACAGTTACTCCCAAATGACAAAATCAATTCCCCAACCCCACCAGTATTCAAATTTGGGTGTATCGGGTGTTTGTGCCTAATTTGGTCCAGTGAATGAAAATACATCCTGCATATCAGATATTTACATTACGATTCATAACAGTAGCAAAATTACAGTTATGAAATAGTGACAAAAATAATTGTATGGTTGGAGTCACTACAACATGAGGAACTGTATTAAGGGGTTGCAGCATTAGGAAGGTTGAGAACCAGTGGTGTAAAGCACTATCCACTTTAGTAACTCAGGAGGACAATGTACCCTAATACCTTCCCCTTTGAAAACCAGCTACAATACTTATTAATCAGGAAACGACTATTTTTACATTTATTATTTTATATTCATTATCTGAGAAAGAGACTGTAAATAAAAATATTCAGATATTATATGTATATAGCTTTAAGAGTGTTTCTCACTGCGAGGGAAAGATAAATCCACATGCTAACCTCATCTGGCATTGTTACCACCCTGCAGTCTGGGAGATTTTAACCCAACTGTCTTGTTTCTTAAGAGATCCGGGAATAGACTAGCAGGGGCTGTTGCAGTTCAGAAGATTAAGGGGCAATGGGATGTTGGTGAGCATGAAGCTTGCATAAGACTGATTTGCTCTGAGGTTGGCTTTGGCCAGTGCTGATTTAACAAGCTGAAAAATCTACTGAGTTAGAGTTCTGGCTGGAAATTGAAATACAGAGTTTAGCTGTGACTTCCAAGTTTCCTGTATCATAGCACCACTGTCCACATTTTCATGATCAAGGGTTTCTTTTTACAGATGTTCTAATGCTCTTCTGAGCCAAGCTAACAGCTCAGAGAAGGAACTCCCAAATAATGTTAATCCTCCTAATTCTTCTCTTTGTATTGTACCAGCTGTGTGCTAGGTGTTGTAGCAAAGGGGAATTGTGTTTCCTCAGAGTTCCTTGTGTGTTTTTTTAAAAGAATTCAGTTGGTTTTGTAAATGGAGGAAATGTCAAAAGACATGCTTCGTGCATATACAATACAATCCCTATTCCTGTTGTTTCCTTAGCCGTAGCTTCACCTAACTGTATCTGACAAAATATGTCCTCTCATAGAATTTTCTAAGTTCTGAGTTGACTCTGTGTTATGCTTCTGCCAGAGGTTTCCATGGAGTCATCTTGGAGGACTTAGGGCCCTTCCACACAGCTATATAATCCAGAATATCAAGGCAAAAAATATCTGCTTTGAACTGGGTTATATGAGTCCACGCTGCCATATATTCCAGTTCCAAGAAGGAAATATGGGATTTTATTCAGCTGTATGGAAGGGGCCTTAGCAAATTCCTAAGATTATTCTCTAGGCATTTTCTAGTTCCTTTAGGGCAGTGATTTACAACC